AAACATCCATTTTAAAAATCAAATTCTTTGAAAGCTTTGGTGCAAAAGAGACTTTCCTCGTTGTCAAATTCTAATTTCGTATTTAATACTGTGTAATTAGCTCTAATTACATGTAAGTATTTTAGCATCAGGACATTTAATGTTAAAGGACAGGAATTATTGAATCGGGACGTTGATACTTATATCGTTGTTGTATGTTATATCAATGAAACTCATATCTACACTCGGTCCATCTATCTCTTTTTCTCTCACTCACTCACTCTCTCTCTCTCTCTCACACACACACACACACACACACACACACACACACACACACACACACACTCTTACATTTTTGGTTTTTGAAGCTTCTAAAACTCTAAAAACGCTGAAGTGAATATAAGGTGCACAATTGAAATTAGACCTCGGCTCCTCTATTATCAATTTCGGGCCATTATCCATTATACCACACGCACATGCAAGCTAAGAACACCTGGTATGTCATCAGTCTAGATTCTACCAGACTCGAAGTTGGGTAACTATGGTGATCGTACGGGAACCGTTGTTTCCAAGTGATATGGCCGTAAAGCCCGTTGGTTCGAATTAGGAGAATATGATAACGCTTAACTATTTAAACAACTCGGAAATCTTGATTTATTTGAAGATATTAGAATGTCAGAGTGGAGTAATGGGTAGCGGCTCTGATTGAGGAATCGAAAAGCCGAGTTTGAATTCCAGTCGCGTTCATTATATTCAATTATGAGGCTAATACCATCGGAAAATATATTAATCCATCGCTTTGAGTAAATAGCAGCACAGATTGGGTTCAATGGCCTTGAGTGGAAACAGGAAAATTTCGTCTAAAACAAAGAAAAGAGTGCTAAAATTATAGGTACATTCAATGCTCTTCCACGGCAGCGAATCTTGGGGAATTTATTCGCAAATGAAGAGGATACTTGAAAAATGTGATTCTATAGAATGATGCTTTCAGCAACGATGACATTTATTACGGAAATGGGAACAAAACGGACAATTGTACTCGAACGTTCCCCGGGTCTAGCCATTCATTTTTTTTTTTTGAGTTTACAAAATGGTTGAAAACAAATACTACTTTCCAAATGGATTCCATTTATCTCTTGGACATTGCGAAATCCTAACAATTGCTTGTAACTAGCAGCCAGACATTTTTTTATCGTCAGAATCCATGTTGCACATTTACAAATATACCATCCAGCCATGCACAGAAAACTGTGGCAACATCTGCTCTGGTGCTCCTGATGTATATCTGCTTGATAAACTCTAAAGAAGGATCTGTAATGTAACCGAACTTGAGCAGATATTTCGAGTTCATCACTTTCTCAACAATGTGACGTGTTTTCCCTCTGCCTCTTCTATAAATATTTTCATAGCAACTGATCTGATGACATGTTTATCTCCGGTTCCCCGAATATATGAATTTAAGCGTGCTACTAGATTGGCATAAAGACACCACTCTCTTGAAATAAATATATGACCCAGTTTTTTTGCTAACCTGATAACTATAATCTTCAAAAATTTTAATGCATGTCAATCGCTATATTCTGTCGTCGGGAACCTAGTTCATCATTTGCTCTCTCCTCAATCCTCTCTATTGTCAGTCTTCATCTTCATTAAAACTCCCAGTAACTCCCTGCGTACTGATAGTATGGGCTTAAATGTGTCATATATATATATATATATATATATATATATATATATATATATATATATAATAAAAGGCTTAAACTATATAATAAAAATGCTAATATTCCATGATCATAATTCATTCCATTGGAATCGTAAATACGATATATATATATATATATATATATATATATATGTGTGTGTGTGTGTGTGTGTGTGTGTGTGTGTGTGTGTGTGTGTGTGTGTGTGTGTGGAGGCACGGTGGAGTGATGGATAGCAACTCGGATTGAGAATCGGAGTGCCGAGATCGAATTCCAGGCGAATAGATTACATTCATTTACGTGCTAATACCCTTGGCAAATGTATATATCGCCTTCTTCTCTCCCTACCAGGTATTGGTAAATACCAGGACAGACCAGATTCTATAGATGGCAACTGGTCTACCGCAGAAAGAAATTTGCAGCCTACTGCGGAAAAAACTTGCCTCGTCAGTCATGTATGGAAAGACACATGACTTTCGAGGCAGTCATGTATCAAATGATACATGATAGCCTAAGTGTGTACCACGCATGACACTTAACTGTCTTACTGCGCGCTCTCGGCTCTGTGTGTGTGTGTGTGTGTGTGTCGAGAAATCAATAAGTCCCTAGACTAAGCATTTATAGAGTGGAATTTTCAATTAGAAAATCAGCTGTTTTTGTTATTCTAATGCGCAACATATATATATATATATATATATATATATATATATATATATATATGATAGGATAAAGAACAAGTAGGAAACAGATCTGAATCTATCATGTGTCAGTTTATTACTGCTTCGTTGGAGATCAAGATAGAAATGATAAAAAATGTAGACATTTGATTTGATTCAACTGCCGGGGTTCAAATCGAATGTCTACTTGCAATAACTTGTAGATTGGGGAGACATTATGCAGTC